CCTTAAAGCAGTTTATACCTTCAAATTGCCACACAGAGCTCCATCATCAAGCACGCAAGCGTGCAAGTCAATTTGCAAGGACGGCAGACCAAATTTTTGGGGCACAAAATCCTTCTCAACAGCGTCACTGTCGAATCAGAAGATGTGTGGGTAGGTGAAGACTTCAGCTTGGAGCCAAGGCCTTATGGAAATTACCAAATTCAACTCTAAAAACTAGAATAGTCGAGGGAATTTTTCTATCAAAGTAATTTCTTGCAGTGCAGTAAAAGCATTTCTTCTCTAAAACCTTTGACCCAAGCTCTTCTAAACCCAATTCCTAAATTTTTATTTTTTGCTAATTGTTTGTTATTTATTTCCTCCTACATTACTAAAAATACTTCTTCATTTTTTTGGCTCAAATTTTCCAACAATGACTATTTTAACTTTTACAAGGTAGGGAACGTAAATAAAAGCGCCCAGACCACAAAACACTCAAATCTCCTAAATAAACACCCCTAGACCCCCTTCTTGCTTCATCCTTATCAATCAATACATGGCCACGCATAAGTAAGGCGACTCATAATTATGAATAATAATAACACACCTAAATCACTAATTTACAAATGTTCGCGCAAATTTTGAAATCTAATAAAAAAAATTAGAGAAATTTACTCTCTTTACAATTCATTGTCTAAATAATATCACGATTACGATCTCCCAAAATTTTCATCAAAATTACGTTTTTAATAATTAAAAGATTATTAATAGGTCAGATGGTTATATATGGCCTAATTAACCATCAAGTGGGATTAATTATATTTTTTGAAACGTGAGAAGAGGTCTCCCTCAAGCAGACGACATAACCACGTTATCTTCTTCCTCAAGAAGCAGTCCAACGCACGTCTTTCTCTCTCCTTCATATACTCAGGCCGAAGGAATTTTTTTCTCCCTCGTTCATCTTTTTCTCGCGCAAAAATTTTCTCCTTTCTCTGTTCTTAATTTTCACCATTGAGCAGCGTATAAAAAAAAAAAAAAAAGAAAAAAAAAAAGAAAAAATCGGTCACTCCTAGTAGACCCGCCGCGATCTGTCCGCCGTTCAACATCTCGCCATCGCAAAGCAGCTCCTATCGCCGCCGCATTTCACATGCGTCCTCGCAACAAGCCCTTGTCGAGGAAACCTCAGACCCGAACCCCTCCGATCAGCCATATACGAGAGCTTCAAGGCCACTGCGCTTCCACCGCCGAGATCCACTCTCCCCGCAGCCTAGACGTAAGCAGCCGTGACCCGCTTTCCGACAATTACCCATCATCCCCGAGTAGTGCAACCGTCCGCGCGAGGAGGAGCAGCGCCGTTCGTCCTCCGAGCAGTCCTTCCATGAGCCGCCGACGATTCTCCGAGCGAACAGTCCACCATCACGGGCCCAGCCGAGTCGAGTTCCTTACAGCAGCACCGTCCGCCATCACCGCCGATGACTCAGTCCGTGAGTCGGCTGCCGTTCGACGTCGCAACCTGACCGTTCGTCTCCGAGAAGTTCGTCGCAGCAGCAGGGACCTGTCCGCACTTTAGATGTTGAGCCGTTCGTCCGTCCGTCCGTTCGAAGGAGTGTAGTAAACATATACACAAATTATACGTTAGTTATACACAATCTATACCAGGAGCGTAGCCAGAATTTTTTTTGACTCGGGGCTGCATATTATTGTAGCTATTATTGGAACCGAGTAGACATGGTTATAGGCCGACCCAACTTGTCGGTTCGGGCCGAACCGACACAAACCAGCCCGTTGACCATGGGTCTTGAACTGGCCTATGGTTTTGACCAGTTCGGTTCATGTACAATACTTTATAGTTTATACATTTTGAACCGGCTGTTCCGAACTGGAACCCGAACCCGAGGTTCGGCTTTTTTTAAAAAAATATATATATTATTTTTTAATTATTTTTTATTTTTTTCCAATGAACCGGACGACAAGTGAACTTATATTAATAGAGGAGGCAACATCATCAGTTGAATGACGATCTCGGCTTGTCGACGTATGCTCTTTTGGTTTAAAAAACGAATTGATAGTCTTTCTTTTCTTCATTGCTTGACCCTCCATTATGATTGAAACCTACAAAGTTAACAAAAAATAGTTAATTAATCAATTATGATATAAGCAAACTAATAATAAAAATTAAATATTAAAAAGAATTCAAAGGGCAATCAGAATTCTTAATTACTTCAAGCGAACACCAAAATTAATACTAACAAGCAGGGGCGTAGCCAGAAATTTTTTTGACTCGGGGCTGCATATTATTGTAGCTATTATTGGAACCGAGTAGACATGGTCATAGGCTGACCCAACTTGTCGGTTAGGGCCGAACCGACACAAACCAGCCCGTTGACCATGGGTCTTGAACTGGCTTATGGTTTTGACCAGTTCGGTTCATGTACAATACTTTATAGTTTATACATTTTGAACCGGCTGTTTCGGTTCCGAACTGGAACCCGAACCCGAGGTTCGGCTTTTTTTAAAAAAATATATATATTATTTTTAAATTATTTTTTATTTTTTTCAATGAACTGGACGACAAGTGAACTTATATCAATAGAGGAGGCAACGTCATCAGTTGAAGGACGATCTCGGCTTGTCGATGTATGCTCTTTTGGTTTAAAAAACGAATTGATAGTCTTTCTTTTCTTCATTTCTTGATCCTCCATTATGATTGAAACCTATAAAGTTAACAAAAAATAGTTAATTAATCAATTATGATATAAGCAAACTAATAATAAAAATTAAATATTAAAAAGAATTCAAAGGGCAATCAGAATTCTTAATTACTTCAAGCGAACACCAAAACTAATACTAACAAGTAACAACATATATAGCATATCAAGTAAAATTAGTCCAAATTCTTAAATCTGAACAAAACAAAAATCCACTAACATCAACACAACCCTAATCAAATAAATAGAATCATTATTTTCTTAATTTGATAACTACATGACAATCACAGAATCAAATTGAAACAAAAATGGCCACATTGCAAAAGTCAAAAGTAGTGGAACTGCTTTTATATTTTTTTAAGTAGCTTTTATAAATTAAACTAACAAGGACAAAACCCCCCAAATCCCAATACCCTAAAACTAAATTACATCTGAACAAAAAAGTATTTGACAAAGGAAAATGCAAATTTAGATAAAGGGAATCTTGCTATTTCTCATAAATAAGTTCAACTGAGACATAAAAGAGGTACAAATCGGGGAGTAGAATTAGAAAGAAAACTCTTACCAACGAGGTTAGCGGCCGTGGCGAATCGGGTCGGGCGGTGGCAGATGGGCAGCGTCTCTGCAAGGAGTGAAGTCGAGGCCGTGACGGTGGAATTAACGGCGAGAGGAGTGAAGCCTGGTCCATGGCGGTGGGATTGGAGCTTGGCTGCGGCAGGCTATGAGGAGCAAGCAGAGAATGAAGGTTTCTAGCTTAATTTTTTATGCATAATTGGTTCGGGCCTTTAGTGAATAAATGAGTTGGTTTTTTAAATTTTAATTATTTTGGTTTTTGCTGTTGGCTAATCACATATGGGCTAAGGGGCCAGGGCCTTTAGGAAATAAATGATTTGGTGTTTTAACTTTTAATTATTTGGGTTTTGGTTTTGGGCTGGACATGTGGGCTAGGTATTAAATGGCATGGGGCTATATAACTAAACTCTTATAATATAATTTTTTTTTCTATTTTGCATGGGGCTGGAGCCCACCCTAGCCCATGGGTGACTCCGCCCCTGATCTATACTATGTTGGTTTTTGGAGCGCGCAAAGTTGTTGGTTGAACTTTGTAAATGTCATGTAAAGTACACATGTGTTGTTTAGCTTATGTATAACTACATTCGATTTGGATGTTGCAGTCATTCAGAATTATGTATTATGTTTTCTCCCGTTTTAGTGTTGTTTATATATTGTTTATCTTATGTATAACTATATGGCTAATATTAGAGAATTGTCAGTTCATGTTTATCTCATGTATATATATAGTATATCTTCCAAAGTTTTGATCAGCGGATATTTTTCGACGAACATACACGTAATTGTTTATCTCATGTATATATACAGTATATCTTCCAAAGTTTTGGTCAACGGATATATTTCGACGAACATACACGAAATTATCTTTTTTTTTTCTCAGCTAGATGGATGAATTTTTTTTTTTCAGGCCGATGAACACAAATCTCTTGAAGAGAGAAGAAACATATCTCGTGGAGAGAGAATTAATTGGATGACTTTTATGTGGAGAGAAAACAAATTCCATGGAGAGAGATTAATTGGAGAGAGAATTAATTTGATGACTTTTATTNAAATATTCAATTGATATAATTTTATATTGTTGATATAATTTTATATTGATCATATGTAAATTTCCCAAAAAATTATATGTTTATATCGTTTGGGCTGAGTGCATTGAATACGCATGACTTCTAAAATCAAAAGAAAAAACAAAGATATTACGAATTTTAACTCAGAATCTAATACACTAATTAAAATAAATTATTTCAAAACTTATGTTTGTTTGGTGAGCTATTAACTTGATAAATCTTTTATTGGCCCTATGTGGAATAATTTTTCATTAACTGTAAATTTTATGAATTCACTCTTTAAAACCCTCACAAATTTGAACCACGACTTGAACCAAATGTTGCCAATGGCAGCTTACAAAGGTGGTGTACCACTGGGAAGGAGATCGATACGATCTATTTATGATTAATAATCTATTTCAGTGAAAAATTTTCATTTAAGGAACTTTTCTAACCATCAAATTTTGTATATAATAATCTATTTAAATTTTTAGGAGTAGAAATTTTTCATCATATATTTTAAGGAGATTAATAATAAAAATGGCAATATGGGGTTGATTTTATAATAACATTAGAAAGTGGGTTCCACAAGATCGAACGGTCAATGAACAAACGAGGGGAAGACACATAATTGTTTTGGTAGGTTATGGTGTCCAAAATGGTCAAGATAATTACATACTACATAATACTTATTAAATATTACATACTACAAAATTCTTATTACATATCACAAAATACTTATTACATATTATTACATACTACAATATTCTGATACGTGGGCCGTAGAGAATTTATCAAAGTGAACAGAAATAATGGAAGTATATTTTACTCTATAGAAAGTCATCTGAAACAAGTAATTGTATTTCTATTCTTATTTTACTAATAGTTATTAATTTATTATCTGAAACAGAAATAATGGAAGTATATTATTTCTTTTCTAACCATCAAATTTTACAGCCAGCTTTAACAAATTACTATTGTGAATATTGAGAAGCATTTTACTACTCTTCTAAAGATTTAAAAATTAATTTATTACTAGTCATTTATGCATGAACGTCAACATAAATTAGTATCGCGACAATTTTAAGAAAAGCAAAACTTTAAACCGCGTCAAGGAAAATTTCAAACCAAATTCGAAGGACATCAGAGGGCTGAGGATCCAAAATCCTAGAATCAGATGATTGATTGACAATGAAGAAAAATTAACAAGTCACATTCCGAACAATCCCAACAAAAATACAGATATTACGCTTCAAAAACCTTGATACAGTTTCCAATTATCGTATCCAAAAATACAGATATTACTCTCTCTCATGAAACTCTAGCTCTAGCTCTTGGCAGCAAGCTTTTCCTTTGCTTTCTGAATCTTCAAGACCTTCTTCACAATCTTCTGTTCTTCCACCAAGAAAGCTCTAATGATCCTTTAAAACCAAGAAATGTGGAATTTTCATAAACTGAACAAAAATAACCAAGGGAAAAAAAAATATATATATATATATATATATTTTAGATTAATTGTTAATCATCAAGTGCATTGAGAAAAAAAGAGACCAAACCTTTCTCTCACAGCAACACCAGACAACACTCCACCATAAGGACGATTCACAGTCCTCCGATTTCTGGGCAATCTCGATCTCTTGTACTCGGCAGGTCTCAAGTGAGGAATCTGAAAAATTCAAATGTATTGAGAAGAAGCTTTTGATTATCAGACAATAAAAAATACCAAAAATCCAATGGATAACATCAGAAAAAACTCTAAAACAGAGAGATTGTTAAAGAGAATGCTATTTGATTTGGTTTCTCAAGTATCATACCCCTCACAAGCGGTTACAGTCCACAAGCACCAAAAAACGATTTAAAATGATAAATTTCGATGAGTAACATTTGAATTCATAATCATCAATATAATAATAAAAAAAAATATACACAAAGAGGGTACATTAACCGACTGTAACAAGAATTATGCTCATATGTACTTCTCCGATACCAATAAACAGAACATCAATTAGCATTACTAGTGAATTATGAGTCAATTAGGCAATCACATTCTCCAATCCATTAATCCAGGGCAAAACAACCTTGAAAACATAGTATGTGATAACTAGATTTGACTCATCAAGGTGAAAAATTCCCACAGAACCAAAATAATCTTCAGGGAAGGGAAAGAAAAAAGTCAAATTTGAAGACAGCAGCTACAATGCTATTTGCAGAATATACAAATCAATTCCTATTAGACAGTAGAA